GCGCGCGCGATGGTGCACGTGTGTAGTTTGGAGGTGAAGATGAAATAAAAATTGTTAAGTTTGAAATGTTGAATCTAATTTGATCTTCCTAAATAATTATCATAGATTCTTAACAATGGTGACCCGGCCTTGCAGCAACCAAGCGTTATTGTTTTTAAACTAATATTTGCACAAAAAAAAAAAAAAAAAAAAAATTTTTTTTTTACATATTACTTGGGACTTAGCCACGTGACTGGAAATGACTGAAGGAACAGCAATAATCGGAGCAGTAAAGATACCTGTGTACAACTTCGCCGATCCTTCACTATGGTTCACTATATGTGCGAAGCAACATTTGAATTGGGAACACCGAAAGCGATATCGGAGTCTCGCACGAAGAAGTATAATTACATTGTTTCGCACCTGCCCGCCGAAGCCGCATCAATTGTGAGAGATGTAATCAAAGCCCCCAACTCCACGGATCCTTACAATCACATTAAAACTGAGCTAATCAAGCGGTGCGGAGAATCGACGCATCAAAGAAAAAAAACTCCTCGGCGGCGAACAGTTGGGAGATCGCCGGCCAAGTGAACTCTTACGCATAATGCGACGACGCGCTGAGTCATACAGCATTTCCGATGAACTAATGCTAACTGTTTTTACAGCATATCCCGAGTTTCGTACAGGTCGATACTCGCAGCGAACACGCCTTTAACCTTGGATAAAGCTGCGGAAGTTGCGGATCGTGTCATCGATGTATCACCATCTCCTGTAGCGGTAAGTGCCACAAATATTTGTTCTGCTAATATTTCAGATTCCATTGAAGAACGTTTACTCGCAGAGATAAAAAAATTGCACGTAAGAATCGATAATATCTCGCGTGATCGTCGCCGCACTCGTAGTCAGAATAAATATCGCGGCTAAAGAGAACGCAGCCCCTCTCAAAATAAAAACAAGTTTGATACCTGTTGGTACCACCTTAAATTTGGTGAGAGAGCTATAAAGTGTACCCCGCCCTGTAAATTTTCAAAAAACGGCCCAGGCGAGGCATAGCGGCGACTACAGCCTTGCCCTCCAATTCTCGTCGCCTTTTTGTTAGAGATGCGCGCACAAATGTCAACTTCCTCATCGACACGGGTTCTGACGTATCTATAATTCCAGCAACAGCATTGCAAAGGCGAAATCGCATCCAAATGACCCTTTCAGCAGCAAACACTACACCAATTTCCGTCTACACTAGCCAAAATCTCTCCTTAGACTTAGGTTTAAGACGCATATTCAGATGGACCTTTCTTGTCGGCAGTGTTTCAACCCCTATTATTGGTGCAGATTTTTTGTATAATTTCAACTTGATGCCTAACCTCCACACAAAAAGATTAATCGACGACGGTAACACTAATCTTGGCTCTAAATGCAGTTTACGAGTTAGTGCAATACATTCAATAAAGACAGTATCTGGCGACAGTATATACCATAAATTATTATTAAAATTTCCAGAAATCACAAAACCACCCCGTGCTGACCAAGAAATTAAGCACACAGTAGTGCATCACATCCAAACCACAGGACCTCCCGTCACTGCTAAAGCACGACGTCTTGCCCCAGACCGCCTACGAATCGCCAAAGAAGAATTCCAAAATATGATAGAATTAGGCCACATTCGTCCTTCAAAAAGTAACTACGCATCACCTTTGCATATGGTCCCTAAAAAGGACAGCACGGAATGGCGTCCTGTAGGAGATTACAGAGCCCTCAATGCACAAACAATAAAAGATAATTATAACATTCCTAATATCTTAGATTTTACTTCTGAACTACATGGCTGCAAAATTTTCTCGTACCTTGATTTAATTAAAGCCTATCATCAAATCCCTATACATCCTGATGATATCCACAAAAGTGCTATAATCACCCCCTTCGGCTTATTTGAAAGCTGTCGCATGCAATTTGGCCTATGTAACGCTGCAGCCACATTCCAAAGATTCATCGATGAAGTTACTCGAGATTTAAAATTTGTTTATGCATTCGTAGACGATATATTAGTAGCATCTAAATCTGAGGAAGAGCATATCTCGCATCTAAGAATACTTTTTGAAAGATTGCAAAATTATGGCCTTAGCCTTAAACCTTCTAAGTGTGTTTTTGGTGTTTCCTCAATAAATTTCTTAGGTGTCAAAGTATCTGAAGAAGGAACAGAACCCCTGAAAGATAGAGTAGACTGTATTTTGAATTTTCCTAAACCTACTACCATAATTCAATTAAGACGCTTCTTAGGTCTCTTCTATAGACGTTTCTATTCCTAGAGCAGTTCTATAGACGTTTCGTTCCTAGAGCAGCACACATATTAGCACCCTTAAATAAATTTTCAGAAGGTATCAAAAATAATAAAAAGAGCAGAAAACCTAAACAAAACGATCCCAAAGAAACACTTCAATGGTCTGAGGCTAGCGAACAGGCATTTACAGATGCCAAAAATTCACTAGCTACCGCAACTCTTCTTCGTCACCCAATTCCAGGAGCCAAACTTAGTGTTTGGGTTGATGCCAGTGACCTGGCAGTTGATGGTTCCTTGATGCAACTCAACACAACCAACTGGGAACCGATTGCATTCTTCTCTGTTAAGCTCACCAACAGTCAACAAAAATTCTCCACCTATGATCGAGAACTATTGGCCATTTACACTGCGGTGAAGAGATTCCGGCACATGCTCGAAGGTCGGAACTTTATCATTTTCACTGATCAAAAGCCTCTTATCTACGCCTTTAAGCAAAATTCAGAGAAGTGCAGTCCGCGCCAATGGCGTCGACTTGATTTCATTTCTCAGTTTAGCACTGACATTCGTCATACCAGTGGTGTTAATAATAGCGTTGCAGATGCATTATCCAGAATTGAGATAAACAACATCTCAAATTCCTCATTTCTTGATTTTGAAGCCTTTAGTCACGCTCAGAAAGCTGATGATTTACAAAATCTGCAAAACAGCAATCATTCACTAGAAATAAAGTCCATGCCCAGCCCAGTGTCAGCAACAGAACTCATCTGTGATGTATCAACCGGAATTCCAAGACCTATTGTGCCAGCATCTTTTCGTAAAATAGTGTTTGACCATTTTCAGAACCTCTCGCATCCAGGAACAACAGGATCTTGCAAATTAATTTCTGCTCGCTATGTTTGGCCCAATATGAAAAAGAATATTAAAGACTGGGTAAAAAGTTGTGATGCATGCCAGCGATCCAAAGTTCACAAACACACAAAAACACCTCTGGGTACATTTGCTACACCAGACGCACGATTTTCTCATCTGCATGTGGATTTAATCGGACCCTTGCCTCCTTCAGAGGGCAAAATGTACTGCCTCACCATCATCGACAGGTTCACCAGATGGCCTGAAGTGATACCCATCGCTGATATGACAGCAGCAACAGCATGCAGAGCCTTGTTCGAAGGATGGATATCCCGCTTTGGATGCCCATCTACCATCACCACAGATCAGGGTCGCCAGTTTGAGTCACCTCTGTTCAGTGAGCTCACACACAAATTATGGGAACAAGAAGAATTCGTACTACAGCCTTTCATCCCCAAGCAAATGGCTTAGTAGAACGTTTTCACAGAGTCTTGAAAAATTCTTTAAAAGCCCATGAAAACCCAAGATGGACTGAATCATTACCAACAGTTCTCCTTGGCATTCGAGCTGCTGTTAAAACAGACATACAAGCATCAAGTGCTGATCTTGTGTATGGAACTTCACTAAGACTTCCAGCAGATTTATTTTCCCAAAGTGCCCAAAATACAACTCCATCTTATGAGTATGTGCAGAAACTCCAGGCACAAATGCAGCAGTTAAAGCCATTTCCCAACCAAAATCACCAAACAAGAATCTTTGTGCACCCAGAATTGCAAAAGTGTACACATGTTTTCCTTCGTGTGGACAAAATAACACCACCGCTCACTCAACCATATACAGGTCCCCACAAAGTCATAAGTCGAAGCGACAAAGTTATATAAAAATATCCATAAATGTCAGGCAAAGCAATGTTTCCCTAGACAGAGTGAAACCTGCATTCATATATAATGATGAAATACAACAAATTCCTCACGAGCATGAACCTAAAGTCCCAGGAAATACTACTGGAAACTCTGTCAACAATTCCAAAACCACAAAATCTGGATGAATTGTGAAATTTAGCAAGAGACTCATCACAGAAATTGGTTAACTTGATCATAATTACTCTTGAGTTACTCGATTTTCAATGTTCATCATATCACAATTATTCTCTACAAATTTCAGAACTGAAAAACCTTTATTTTCATTTATTCATGTCAATTAGATTTAACCTGTATTACTTTATTTTGTTTTCTACTTTTATTTAATTTCATGTATGTAAGTGATTTCAGCAACTGACACAACCCAGCATCCCAATTCCCTTTTGTTTATGCTATGTATGTGTAAATACTGTCGTTGTTCTTCACTTCGCTTGTTCACTGGGGGGATACTCTTGTTGTGGTTTATCTATTTGAAAAAGTCTAAAAAAATATCATACCAATTTAACCCCAGAACAGCTGAGAGATGGCAGCATATCGATAAAATTTCCTGTTCAAGAGGATTAGCGAAGCAGGTGCAATGGTGCTGATGATTAATTTTATGTGTTTTTTTTTTCCAAAATCCGTTCACTAGAATTCATTGTACAAACCGTTTCCTGCAAACTCCTTTATTCTGTCAGTTATTTCTTTTTTATGATATCCCATATTAATGGAAATTTACGATTATGAAACTGAAGGATTTGCTGTTTAAAAAGCAAAAGAAATGCACACTTATTCCACAGATTGTTGCATGAATGAATTGGTTGAGACGACTGGAACTGGGTGAGTGAGAATGTGTGTACATATGGGGAGGTACGCTATGCAGATATCTGTAAGACTGCAAACAGCATGTGGGGAGCTTCTAGTTGTTGAGCTTCATGTGAGTTAAACAAATTGCTTTTAAATGCATACTTGTTTTCAGTTTTATCTTTCTTCTGCAGGATATTCCTATGCAAATGAATGGCAGTGATTGTGGCATGTTTACTCTAAAATATGCAGAATATCTTGCAAGAGATGCAAAGCTAACATTTTCCCAAGTAAGGAATTTTACTTTTTTTATTTTTTAATAATTTTTCTATATTATTAATAATGTATTTATTTCTTGTTATGTTATTGATTTTGTTTGAATCAAGTTTTTGTTAAAATTTTGCAGTCTCTGTGCACACAATTAAATCTAGATTTAACAGTTTCCGCCATGATCAGCAGAAAAGCTCATTAAATTGGAAGATACTAAAATAGACATAAATGTACAGAGAAGTATTAATTATGTACCTAGTAAAATGAACAAAAGATAGTAATCCATTCACTATCAAAGGTATTTCGGTATCAAAGGTATCAAAGGAATTTTAACAATGATGAAAATATTGACAGATGTATATTCATTGTATGAGAAATAAAAGTAGCGAATTTTGGGGGATATGAAATAATAATGCCAGTTTGACTTCTGTCTCGGCAGTGGGTTTTTTTTGGGGGGGGGATCATACGACTGAGAACTTTGACTACAACTTCATCAATGTGCCTATTAATGCACACAGAATAATTGGGGAAGTTATCTTTATACTCTGGAGCAATGTATTTTGTACTCATTTTGGGGAAAATAATCAACTGTGTCATGTTGGCAATTTTTGGAAAAGTTTCGAGTATATGTGATCATATGTAGAGTAAATCTAGCATTTTGACATTATTGAAAAGAAAGCTTTGTATGTGAGAACAATAGCAATTTGAGCAAGGAAAATATCAAGATAAATAATATCAGCAGTGAATCATAACAATATATTTCGGATGATGATGATAATGGCATAGAAAAATGATGATGATATGTTCTACGTTGGTAAGGGTAAATATTCTAAGTGACAAAAAGACAAGTGAGCAAACTCCCAAAGATGAAAAAGGTGAAAAGTTGAAAGTGTGAAAATAATAGATATAAATACACTTGATGAAATTTTGGAATGTACAAATAAATATATAAGTTTGCTAAAAAACAAATACTTAAGAAACAGAGACTGAACAGTTACCTCAAGCCAGTTAACACAGCACCATGCCGAAGGATCTTCCTGAAGAATTTATCTATTTGTCTTATGAAAGAGTATCTTCATTGACTTGCCAAAATCCAAACATTACCTTCCATTTTAACATTTTTAAGTCATAATTATGCTACTCCTAATGATGAAATGCCAGAGCAATACTCATCAAAACTAGGAACGTGCAGTTTGCATTGTCAGAGGGGGGGGAAAAGCGATCATCAGCATCTATGAAATGCAAGACATGCCTTGTAGATACACATGCAAACGTCATTCTATTACCGAAATTATTTGCATGGAATGCAGTGTGAACTTCGAACATTGAAGAATCATTTGATTGTTTTTCTATTTTTACTCTACTTTATCCTATTTCTGTTATTACTATTCTTTATTTTCTTTTATTTCTATTTTTTATAAATAAATAAAAATATTAAAATTAGTTTTTGTAACCAGTAAGAAGTAAAAATAATGCTAACCTTATGTTTATTCTTATCAAGGTGAGTGTAGTTTCCATTTTTATTTGTCTATACCTGCCTTTCATGAGTATTAAAACTAGCTTGGATTTTAAAATATAGTTATTAAATAAAAAAAATTATCTTTCTATAATGAAATACATCATTGCCTTTTCACTTGACTAATATAAACATTTAAAAATTGTTTACTTTTCATATGTATTTTGCCCCCTCAGGGGGCTCACTTTTGTGAGTACGGGTGTGGCAATCCTGAGGTACCATAGCCCTTCAGGGGATCATCTTCTTGATGAGACGGGTGTCACGATCCTGGAGCCCCAGTGATCTATCCTCTTTTCCGTCTCCTCTCCTCTTGGCTGGTACTTTTTCCCTTCCCTTCTCCCTTGTGGTTTCTCTCTACGGAGTTTGGGGCTCGTCACAAGAAACTGGAACAGCCCTTGTCTCTAGGTCTCGAGTGGCGAGAAAACTGCCCACGTGTTTGCCATGCGTGGAGACCCGTGTCGCTGGAAAGGAGAGTCCTGGTAGTTGAGGGGCGAGGTACTGTCCCCAACACACTGCTTTGGCCTCTGCTTCAGCTAAACGGGAGGCACCTTAGTCGTCCTCACGGCTGGTCACTAGTCCTTGTGTCAGTGGCTTGGGGTCAAGCTCTCGGGAGTACCTGCTTTCGGGAAAGCCGACTGTGGGGCTTCAGTTTGCGTATAGGTCCGGCTAGCCCTAACACAGGAATCTGTGTTCCCTTGTTGGGCTCCGTGGTGGGTGGGGCCGTCGGACCCGAATCTTTCTTCTCTTCAATATGGCTTCATCACATATATATTTAATTAAAGATTTCAAGGTCACTCCAGTCACTCAACATAGTTCTGAAACGTCTGTTAAACCAGTCAGTCAACCTAGTTCTGAAACATCTACTGCTAAACCAGCCACTCAACCTAGTTCTGAAACATCTACTGCTAAACCAGTCATTCAACCTATTTCTGAAATGTCTACTGCTAAACCAGTCACTCAACCTAGTTCTGAAAAGTCTACTGCAAAAAAATTACGTACAGATACAAATGAAAAAAATCATAACAATAGTCCCCGTTTCCTAGTCATCTCTAGTCCTTCTGGCGAAATGCATAAGATGTCTCCTTTCGTAATAAACAAATACATCCAGTCTTGTATTGGTGAGCCGAGAAATATAAAGCGTCTCCGCTCCGGAGACTTGCTTATTGATACAACCTCAGCCACCCAGTCTGCTTCTTTACTTCAGATAACTAAACTTGGGCAAGCGAATGTCACTGTGACAGCACATAGGTCACTGAACTATTGTCGTGGTGTAATCTCAGAATTAGACCTTCTGTATGTTTCTGAAGAAGAGATCGCTTCTGAGCTATCCGACCAAAATGTCTGCGGTGTAAGGTGGATCAAGATGCGTAAAGAAGGTAAGTTGATAGACACGAAACACGTGATCCTTACCTTCAACACGCCTGATCTGCCTAAGAATATTAAGGCCGGATATCTAAATATTCCCTGTAAGACCTTATATTCCAAACCCTATATGCGATGTTTCCAATGCCAGCGTTTCGGCCATTCTAAGACGTCTTGTCGTGGCAGCAGCCTCACATGCGCCCGATGCTCACAGATTGGCCACGATTCTGATAATTGTACCGCTGCGCCTTTGTGTATAAATTGCAAGGGTGACCACCCAGCATTTTCTCGCTTGTGCCCAAAATGGAAATCGGAAAAAAAGAAATCCAGACTACAAAAGTTACAAGGAACATCTCTTACGCCGAAGCCAGAAGACTAGTCCAGAGCACACACCTTCGACCAAATACATCATACGCCAGTGCTGTTAAATCATCTTGTACAGTTGCCACCCAAACATCAATAGGCACACAGACCCTACCAAATAAAACCCAACCGTCTACATCCAACAAGAAAAAAGAAAATGCAACCCATATAGTACAAAAGAAAGAAACAGTTATTCAAAGTAAGCCAAAAACTAGTACACATAAAATATCCAATAAAAATAGAAGTCACAGCAATAGCTCTTTTGATGAGATGATTTCTGAATCTGCGGATTCAGACTTTATGGAAGTAGAAGAGGGTCTAGAAGTTCCCAGGCATCTACTTCCACGAAAAACAAAAAAACAAAAGAACAGCACAGAAAAAACAAAAACCATTCATAATGGCCACCCTCATGTCATGGAACTGTCGCGGTTTCCACCGAAATTTGCTTGACATCAAAGCCATAATAATAATGCTTATCATCCTGTATGCTTCGCAATACAGGAAACAAATCTAAAACCAGAACAACAGGCAAAACTTCGGAGGTTTTCTTTCGTCAGGAAGGATAACCATTGCAGGTGAGCGTGCCAGTGGAGGTGTAGGTCTCCTCACCTCACTGGATTATCCCTCAAATGTGCTTTCTTTGACGACATCCCTCCAAGTTGTCGCTACTCAAACAAATTTTGATATTGTTGTTACAGTTTGTTTCTCTGTATTTGCCTCCAAATGAGCACATTTGATCAGCAAGATTTAAATGGTCTTTTAGAGCAGCTGCCTGAGCCTTTCATCATAATAGGAGATTTTAACGGCCATAGTCCGCTCTGGGGTAGTAAAGATACAAATTGCCGAGGAAGACAAATTGAGCAGATGATCGAAGATCATAGCCTTTGTCTCCTAAATAATGGGCAAGGATACGTACTTCCATGAGCCTTCAAGGACATTCCACGCTCTCGACCTTGCCATCTGTTCACCATCTCTGTTGCCATTTTGCACTTTTAGTGTCGGAAATGACCTGTACAACAGCGATCATTATCCCATTTTTGTGTCTCTTGCACGAAGAGGAGCAAACCCCATGTCGAGACTCCCTCGGTTTATACTGGACAGGGCAGACTGGGAACTCTTCTCTTCCATTGCAGAGCTCACAGAGATCAAATGGTAGAAGATGTGCATATCGATGACGCTGTTGGAAGCTGTTACTAATACTATTATTCAGGCAGCTATGCTTTCGATTCCTAGAACATCAGGAAAAATACTTAAAATATTCGAAACCATGGTGGAATCGCGACTGTCATGAAGCACTGAAAAAACAGAAAAAAGCATGGGGTATTTTTCGTAGATATCCTACTCTGCGAAACCTCATAGCCTTTAAAGAGCCCCAAAGCAAATGCACGAAAAACGAAAAGTAAGAAGGCAGAGCCAGAGGGATTCCTGGATTTCATATGTGTCCTCAATAACATCCTCTACGCCTAGTAAGCGGGTTTGGGAAAGAGTTCGAAAAGCATGCGGAATGTATAAAGACCACTCACTTTCCTTTCTGGAAAAAGATGGCCGAGTGATTAGCTCCATAGAAGAAATTGCGAATACTATTGGTGAGACATTTGCTGCCGTTTCTTCCAGCAGAAAACTATTCACCTGCATTTCTCTCTATCAAGCAACACTCTGAAAAATAAATCCCATCGCATTCAACTCTTCCAAATCTGAGCCGTACAATAGAGACTTTACTATGGTTGAATTAAGGAGAGCTTTGTTGCAGACACATAGGTCTTGTCCGGGTCTGGATGGCGTGTATTATGAAATGCTAAAGCATCTGTCCTATAAGTCACTGAGTGCCCTTCTCACACTTTACAATAGAGTGTGGAAGGAGCGTACATTTCCCAGTGCATGGAGGAGAGCTGTTGTCATTCCTATTGCGAAGCCAGGGAAAGACCCGAGGAATCCCTCGAACTATCGGCCAATTGCCCTTACCAGTTGTGTTTGCAAACTGTTTGAAAAGATGGTAAACAGCCGCCTAGTCTACTTCTTAAAAAAGAATAATATTATATCGCCTTATCAAAGTGGTTTTCGAAAGGGGAGAACAACCTGTAGATAACATGCTCTCTCTTAGAGACATCCATTCGAAAAGCTTTTGTAAGAAGAAATCACCTTGTCTCAATTTTCTTCGATATAGAGAAAGCTTATGATAAGGCATGGAGATACGGTATACTTCGCGATCTTCACGAGAGTGGCTTGCGCGGCAACCTACCAATTTTCATTCAGAATTTCCTGAACGCTAGAACTTTTCAAGTAAGGATTGGCTCTGTTTTTTCGGATGTTTTTCAACAGGAAGAGGGTGTGCCTCAAGGCTGTGTGCTTAGTGTAACCCTGTTTAGTTTAAAAAAATAAATTCTGTATTAAAAGAACTTCCTCCCACCATCTTGGGATCCCTATATGTTGATGATCTACAGATTAGCTGTCGAGGGGCGGACATGAGATACGTAGAGAGGCAGTTGCAGATCGCTAGCTCTGAATAAGATCCAAGAATGGTCAAACAAACAGGGATTTACTTTTTCCAAACAAAAAAACTGTGTGCGTGCACTTTTGTAGGAAGCGAGGTCTCCATCCTGAACCTGAGTTATATCTAAATGGTTCAATTATTCCAGTTGCGCCCGAAGTAAAATTTTTTAGGAGTGACTGTTCGACCACCGAAAATTGACTTTCCTTTCCTCATGTTTTAAACCTGAGAGAAAGAAGTGTTTAAAAAACACTAAATATTTTAAAAGTGTTGGCGAACACCTCCTGGGGTGCAGAGCGTTGCTCCATGCTTTGCATTTACAGAGCTCTAATTCGCTCTAGACTGGACTATGGCTCAGTTGTTTACGGATCCGCCGCCCGGTCATCAGTATTGTTAAAACTGGATCCTGTTCATCATCAAGCTCTGCGGATTGTTCAGGAGCTTTCAGGACTTCTCCTGTGCAGAGCCTGTATGTTGACTGTAATGAACCATCACTTTATCTGAGGCGTGAACAATTGTCCCTTTTGCAATATTTTAATATTCTATCCCAACCTGAACATCCCAATAAGCTGTGCTTACTTGATGATGTGTGTAACGCTTTATTTGAAACACGTCCATCTTGTGTTCCTACATTTCTTTTAAGAGTTCGCCCTGTCATTGAGGAACTTTCCCTCTCTGATATGCACCCCCAAGCAGTACAGAATTTTGAAATCCCACCTTGGGAAAATGCACAGATTCAGCTTCTTGATGTTTTTAAGTATCATGTGAAGGCAAGCACTAACGAGATTATTTACAGACAACTCTTTCGCTGAGCACAGGGAACAAATATAGCAGTTATCTTCCAGTTTATACAGATGGAGGTCCAAGTCAAAAAGATCATGTCGGGATGGCATTTGTAATTGAAGACCACATGGAGGGCAGACGCTTGCACAATGCTTTCTCTGTCTTAACATCCGAACTAACTGCGATATATTATAGTCTTTTGTACATCTCAAGGCTCTGCTACAAAAAGTTTATAATTTATACAGATTCGTATAGTGCTCTTAAATCAATAGAAGCTTTTCCTAATACTCAAAATCCAGTAATAGTGGATATTCTCAAAATACATATAAACTTAATGAATCGTGGATATGAAATCCTGTACTGCTGGGTTCCCGGGCATGTGGGAATAAAAGGGAATGAGCTGGCAGATATCACAGCAAAATGTGCTGTTGAACTGTCCAGTCGTCTCATCCCTTTTGCAGACATCTGTTGTGTTGTGAAAAACAAAAGATTCGAAAAAAATGGCAGCAACTTTGGGATGTTCAGCTTCAAAATAAATTAAGACATGTAAAACCTAGAATTGAGCACTGGGAATTAACCAAAAATCGTAAGGAGGAAGTTCTTTTGACTCGCCTCAGAATTGGTCACACTAGAGTGACACATAGCTACCTTTTAAAAGCTGAAAATGAGCCTGTTTGTTTTAACTGTAATGTTTGTTTATCTGTTCGTCATATTTTAATTGAGTGTCCATGTTTTAATAGGCTTCGCCAGAAATATTTTAATAGCTGTGACTTGCCTCTCGACCGTTTAATCGGAAGAGAGACGTCAATTGTGGTTTGTTTTATTATTTGAAAGAGACTGGCTTTTATTACCAAATGTAATTTGTTTTGAAGACTGTGTCTTGAATTTTAATTTGTTTTATATGACTTCATCCTCTGGATTTGGTACATTTGTCTACTTGTTTTTATTTATTGAATTTTAATATCACAATTATAATCATCTCATCTTGTGTTTGGCGCGTGATAATCATCTCTGATTTTTGCGCCATAATCACTCACTCACTCACTCATATGTATTTTGCAATAATGACCTTAATATTTTATTTCTTAACCAATTCATTATCAATATTTACTCATTTCTGTTATTTTTCATGCCAAAAATGGTAAATTAACAAATGCTGTAAAAAATACGACGCACACGCGCTCATGTAATATCGTCTAGCACGTGTGCTGGAAGGTTAAGCAAAAAAATTTTTCTCAGCAGAAATTTAGCGTGTCGAGAAAAATCAGCTTATTTCATTATTTCAGTTCATATATGATCATTTATAATTTAAAGATGAACACTAAACCGGTTCACTTTTGGAGTTTAAAAATTTTATATACTTTGTTAAATGTGAAGAAGTATTAAAACTAAAACTTTTTGTTGAATTTTTTTGGGGGGGGAGAGAAACAATTTGTTTGGGCACCAGGAAGTTGGAATCTGACTGTATTTTATTATTATTATTATTTGGTATCTGAAATCATTCCTTTTACTGTAGCATATGTATAATTTGTGTTATTTTTTTTATAGAAACATATGGCACATTTCAGGCGGCGGATGGTATACGAATTATTGACAAATCAGATACTATGAGGTCTGGTTCAATGTTTTGTACATTTATACTCAACATGCAGCTGTGCATTGTACATAAGATGTGGACATTAAGGAGAGCCTCCCGAAAAAGAAAGAGATCTAATTTTGTATTGCGATAATAGAATTATCATAATAATTTGTTCAGTTTTATTATTTCCAATCCTAAATTTGAAACCTTGTGTAATGTACATAAAGGAAATGTGTACTGTGAATCTGTTGTAAAAAATCATATAGGCATTAAATTTGGAAAAATCATTTTTCAAAAGACTTTTGAAGTTTGTACCATATTGTTTCAATTAACTCATGTAGATGCTTTTGGTACTAATATCATTTCATATGAAACACTAGTTATGCAAAAGATTTCAACTAGTTAAATATATTTTGGCATGTTTTCACTGCAAGAAATAATTTCAAACAATTTTTAAATAATATACTTAGTTCTGAGTCACTTTTGATTTGTATTTTAATTCTTTGATGTTTTAATTATTATAAAAGACATAATTGAGCGATTGGCTATAATGTATTAAGTGTGTGCCAAATAGAGTATCTTATTTATTTTTAAATATCAGAAAATACTGCATAAACGTTTTTAAATCATGGAAATATACTATATTCACCTAGTTTAAATTCCTTTATATTCTTCAATAATTTAATTCTTCCAAAGTGTGACCATTTTAAACATTGTGAAATATTTTGATTATGTTCCCTTCAGACCTCTATGACTACATTAAATAAGCATGTTTGTAAATATATCATATTTATATTTTGCATTTCGTATGTGTCCCCCCTCTTTGTTTATGTATTTACTAAGTGAAATATTTCTGAACAATTATGTTATATTTAATAATGATTTCAAGCATTTTTAATTCTAAGTATCTAAAACTTAAATTATGTAAATTGTTGCAAACATTCTAGTTTACTTCATTTTTGGGTTCTCATAAATAAAGAATAGTAATAATTGTTTTGTCTCTTTATTAGCTCAGTTGAAATTTCTTCTTTTACAGAATTCAGCAATTTTGCATTGTTCTACGAGGGTCATCCAGGAAGTAGATTACGTTTCCGTCTGTGTCCGCTAGGGGTGGGGCTAGCGCGGCCATCTTGGGGTCAGAGCGTTGCGCAGCTCAGTCTGCATCTAGCCGTGCTAGTGAGAGGTTCGTGCTGTGCTCCGTTCAGATACTGTGACGGTTTGAAATGTCTGCGTTAATTGAAAATCCCGTGAGCTGCGAGGTGCGCTCAGTAATAAGGTTTCTGACTGCAAAAAACTGTAAACCGATAGAAATCTATCGGCAGCTTCGTAAAGTGTATGGGGACAACATTATCACTGAAGGTGGAGTGCGTCAGTGGGTCATAAGATTTCAAAATGGCCGAACCAATGTTCACGACGAAGATCGAAGTGGGAGACCCAGCATAGTGACCGCCGAACTTCTCGAAAAAGTCAATGCTAAAGTCCGTGAAAATCGAAATTTCACAATAACGGAACTTTCTTTGAGTTTTCCACAAATTTCGCGAAGTTTGTTGCACGAAATCATCAGCGAAAAGCTTGGTTACCACAAGTTTTGTGCAAGATGGAAGGCACGAAGAGGTAACGAAGTGGTTGAAGGCGCAGGCGGCCGAATTTTTCGACGAAGGAATTTCCAAGCTCGTACATCGCTACGATAAATGCCTTAATTTGTATGGTGACTATGTAGAAAAGTAGTATTTGAGTGTGGCTTTCATCTGTATATAATAAAATTTGTTTCCTATACTTTGTTTATTTTTTTATTCCAAAACGTAATCTACTTTCTGGATAGCCCTCGTATTTTCTAAAGTTCATTTTTATTTAGTCCAATAGAACAAAATATTTCTTATAATAACAACATATACTAATGTTGTGAGGCCTTAAATGGTTTGTATATTCAGATTTTAAATAACCTTAAACTTGTATATAACCATTCAACAAGGTAGATTTATATATTTTTCTGTAAAGTAACAAATATGCTATAACTATTTGAAGTATTATTCCCTCAGTTTTCATTGTTAAGCATTAAATTTGATGTATGATTGCGGTAAATAATGAAACGTAGGTTTTGAAATAAAATATTAATTATATTTTTGAAAGTAAGCATTTAGATATTTTAGTTGCAAAGCATTAAAACATACAGTTTATTCATAATTTAGAGCAACTTCAAAAAATTAGTAGCTAATTTATTGTATATTTTATCTTTTTGCTCAGTGTAATATAAAACCAAATTCCCCTTTCTGTAAAACATTAAAAAGTTACATAAACAATTCTGGAGAATACTTTAATGAAACTTAGATATACAAAATCTGTATTCAGAGTTGTGCTAAAAAAATTGCAGTTCAAGTTTTGTGACATTTTTCAATTCTAAGAATAAAGAAGGATTGTTTAGACCAGACATGGCCAAACTGCGGCTCACGAGCTACTTCCGATTCTTTGCCATTGAAATGCGACTTGTTTTGAATAAATATAGTTTAATATTTTAATACAAATGGAATTTGAAATATAAATCATGCATTGCCACATTTCTTTAATAATCGCCAATTGAGTTTCTGATATTATGTATTCAAATATTTGATAAATTTCAAACTGTCCACTGCTGGCTTATCGTCAGAGTAACAAATATGTAAAATTTTAAAAAAATTCCATTTCTGGCAATTCTCTTCCGTTTATTTTACTTTTTAACAGGTAATGATCGTCTGAATACACTAATCTGAAACTCAATGCTAATATTTTTATTTAATTATTCTCTCTAATATTTTTTCTCTCAAGTTAATATTACGTCAGGCAGCATCTGTTTATATTCCTGTGTGATCCCAACGTTCAGAACAGTTGTGATCCGCCTGGAAGAATTGCTATTCATTGTAGGGTACTACTGTTATTCATTCCTTGTTTGGCTTGAGTAATTGCTCCATATGCAGCTCTTTTAATCTGAGGAAAAATTGACGAGGATTTTATTTTTGGTGGAGTGAACCTTCAGCTTCTTGGTTAGGAGACTTATTTCAGTTTTCTGCGGAACTCCTTCAAAATTAATTTCCTATCCCCAAGCAAGTCGGGCATTGTTATGCAATTGCGTCACATATTTCACAATAATACACTTAATGAATACTTCTCTCATATGAGACCGTACTTTTGTAATAATTCCTTGGTAATCATAGGCAGAGATCAAAATTTATTACACCAATGCTTGCGTATGCTGAAATATTTGAAGTTGTGGGAAGAGTCACTGAGTCGGCAATGATTTAAATTTTAATCAAAATCTGTAATTCCCATTTTATCAAATATAGTTATTCCAGATAGATATCTTTCACATTAATCATCAAATCTTCATATCGTTAGTGCAGCGTCAAGCAATGAGGGACCAACAGGGCACAAACCTCTCTCTTCAAAGTTTCTGTCAAAATTGGCATGCAGATATTGGTGAAATCTTTTTAACTTGTGATATTTTCTCATGTTTTTGGATTTCTTCTTTTATGATCTTTTTTTTTTCCCCCCTGTCTTGAGCTAGGTTAGAGGCATTTTGCTGCTCAACATATGTGAAATTTTTAACCCCTTAATATTGTCGCACTGTAGCTGGATATTTTTTGTCTTCCTAATTTTTATCAACATGTACACTGCTCAAAAGAAAAAAAAAAGGGGGGGACAGTGCTATATCTCCCGTTCTAATGGGGCGATTCACAAAATTCAAATTGCTTTCTTCATGTCTTGAAAGCGCGACTTAGGATATATATTAGATTTATATATAGCACTATTCAAACATAGGTATTTTGACACAAAATCGGACTTTTTCTGAAATAACATACCAATTTTTTTCCATATTTCGATTCTACGACTCAAATTATGCCAGAATACCAAATTTTGTAAAAATTGTGCGAGTAGTTTTTAAAATATTTCAAAATTCTCAAATTTTCTCTCCTCAATGTTAATTGAATTTCGCAAATATTTATTAATATCTCTTTTTTTATTAAACTTTATTGATTTTTTCTCTCACATTTCAAAATTTAGGTTCATTCCAAATAAAATTTACCTATTTTTTCGTGTTCAATTTTTTAAATTTCTATTTTTATATATTTTTCGAAAAAAAAATTTGAATTATAACCTATAAAGTGTTTATCATCATCTTAAAGTAGGTGTATTTTTAAGCATATTTGCAAAAAAATTTTTTAGATTTTTTTTATTTTAAAAATTAGATTATTTATTTTTTAGAAAATTTTCTAAGCTATACACGAATTTACATATTTTCGCGTTTTGAAATTTGGCATCTTTTTTTTTGAGCGATAATAGCGCCAAATGTGATCTATAGATTTTTGTTACAGTGAATTGCCACAGCTATTTTTAACCTTAAATGTCAAGTAAAATTTTCCGAATTAGTTGTAAGAAATTTTTTCCCTCAAGGATGCATAATAAATATTTATTAATACTATATGAAAAGCTATTTTTTAAAATTATAGATGATATTATTCAAATTTTTTTTTTTTTTTTTTTTTAAAGTTAGAGTCAATTTTTGTAAGAGTAAATTTCTATATTCCGCGTTTTATCATCTGCTACTTTACTTCGTTTAAATCGAATTTTCTAAAACTGAGAATTTTCGTTTGATGTTTATTTGAATTTTATGACATTAACTGCATAATTTATTTCTAAACAAACTGTTGCTTTTGAAGTGGCTGAAAGAGCGGCTGATACTATCATCCATATTTTTAAAGCACAGTATATTTTTATAGAAACATAAGATTTACAATAATCATTTTTTTATAAAAGTCAAATTATGATATAAACATACAACCCTCTAGAGACCGAATTAATGGAAGTTCAAAGGTTATGTAGAAATGATCTGCAGCTACTTATTGGTTGAATAACTCAGCAGGTTCTGTGGACAAGTACGAATAATTATATAAACGACACACAACATTCTGAATTCAATTAACCACGAGAGTGCAATGTTTATTAAATGAATTTAAGAAGATTTTAAACATAAAAAAATCAACTCATTTTTTATCTCAAAATATATTTTTATGTGTAGCGTATTTTCATTATATCCTTAAAATTCTAATTTAAAATGTAATTGTCAAGAACTGAATTCTAATCATCAGTAATATAATAAGTAATTATTACGATTATTAATAAATCCTTCTTATAAAGTAATTGCAAATATTTCAAAAACTTTCTGTCTGAATGCAAATATTTCTAATTTTATATTAATCAAGATTGCATACCATATTATTTATTTGCACTTCAATTCTTACTGTCAGTTCTAGTAGAATTTACAAATCAATTATATTTAATTATGGCAAAGCACACGAGGGCTATCTGCCTTCGTGGAGGACTTTCTAAGGGAAACTGGCTCGTATACACGTTACACATGGGGAAAACCACGAAAACGCCCATGCGGCCAGCCTGTTCGCGGGATTCGAACCTCGGAATGAATTACCAGTGTTCAGCATCTTTACCACTCGGCCGCTGGTTTGCTATTTAATTAAGGAGTTACCATCTAAGTTTAGAAACAGCGTACCGTAACAACAATTCAATTATTGGCGCCGTATCTTTCATGTTACTCTCGATTGGCAAGCTACATTATTTTTAATGAGTATTCGGGTTTTGCTAGTAACTTCACTTGGAAATCGTGCTTAAACTAGGTTAGTTGGTTATTTGAACATAGAAAGAACATGGGAGCTATTTGATTAAGATGCTTTCATAGAGAACCTAGAAAACTACGAAAACCAACCATGCAGCCTGGGTTAGACTTCGCAACAACACATTAGTATTTAAACAATCTTAAATGCTAGGCAACTGGTGAGGCTCCAATTAATATTTTATTTGTAAATATTTAAAATATTGTTGTATTCTTAGACACAAAAAGCAGAATTTAAGTTTTGTTAACTCGTTAGCAAAACTATACCAAACCGTAATGCAAATGAATATTCAATTTCTTTTGCAATAATTGTATTCACTTAATATTCTTGGA